TAATGAATCAGTAGCTTTTACACTTTTACAGTAATTATGCTCGATTTCCAGGATCATCAGAAAGTATATGAAATATCGACCAAATGACAGAGGCTCAAAGATATATTTTAAGGCAATGGTCTAGGAAATGAGAAATGTTGGTCTTCACGGTTTACTGATTAGTTGTAACTCATCTTATTTATTATTATGCAAACAGATTTTATATGTTGCATTATTGACAACATTTACCCCTATGCATGCAATAGATTATATGCAATAGATTAAAAAAACGTTTTGCATCAGGAATTCTGTGCAGAGGGGCTAAGTGAAACGTTATCAGGTGCTTTGGTGTCCCACACGAGGGACAGAATTATGCTTAGGCCAGGTTTGCATTCATGTGGAGTTGACTGTGTTGATTGATTGTTGATTACCATAATGATCATTTCACTTCTGTTAACTACATAGCCCGAGCAGACTGAGCTAAACTGCAGCTTTAATGAGTAGTGAAGCTGGCCAAGAGCATGTTGTTCAGCCTCAGCATGAAGGATCAAGCACTTCAGAAAATATTAATGAGACACCAGGGTCTGATCAATGATGATGCCTTGGAAGATAGTGCAGCAGGTTGCTTAGCTTCATACTAGTACTGTGAAACAGGGCATCTGGTTGACTTTTCTATTGGGTTTTGATGAATGAAAAGCTTGCGAAATCGTGTGGATCTTCTAAATTGAATGAAATTGACTGAAGAGCAGCTGCACGCAAGGCTTCTTGACATATCCTATATGTTTTCCTAATAAATGAACTTGGTAATGGAGCTGAGAGAAGAGAAAATTAGCAGGGAGCCTTTGTGGAAAGACGTCATTAAATTATTTCAGTGAGATATTCAAGGTGGCAGGAGAGCACAACATAATGTCTCCATGTTGTAAAAACAGTAAAAGCTTAGAAGAGTAGTGCAAAACTGCAGCAACACTAAAGACAAGCAGAACCTCCACGTAAAACCGTTCAGATATAACCCACAAAGAATTATGTTTCCCTGTCTGTTATGAATGAAAAATCCAGCACCTCAGTAGGTTAACCTTTCTCTCTCCATAAGCATCTTTATTCATCTTCACTCTACATCCGTAGATACTGTGATAAAAGTCAGGATGATGAATAGAGTGTTAAGGGTTAAAGTTGTTTGACTATGTTTATCTTCACAGTTCAACTTTAATACTCCATAAAAATATTACCTAACCTCCTAACGTAACCTCCTAAGTTTCTTAATTAAGTCCTCGCACACAATTACAAATTGATCATGGGGAGTAAGGTTTGGAAAGAGGAACCTATTTGTACCATATGTGTTGCCTGGGAAATGTAGATGTTTTTCATTTATCTGACCAGTGTGGAAATACTGAAACTCAGGTACGATGATGATATTCTACTATTGTGATAGAAATTTCTATCATGAGGGGTCATAAACCAATGGGCTACAGGACTATGGAGTCCCGTAGCGTAGTGGTTAGCGTGCTCGCCTTGCAAGCGAGAGGATCTGGGTTCGATTCACGGGTGAGGAAAAACCTTAGGCAAGTTTCCTTGCTCCAAAATGCTTCTGTTTACCTAACAGTAAGTAGGAACCCGGTTGTTAGACAATTGGCAGATCGCTTTCTGGAGGAACTGGTTTGTGTGTCAGCCTGATGCATTGGTAGCACTCTCGCCTCTGAGTCAGAAGGTAGTAGGTTCAAGCCCCATGTCGGGAGTTGGAATCACATACTCTAAGCCAGGGTGGTCCAACATTTTGGCTGCCGCGAGCTGGATTCCCTAATTGAGAAAGGTCTGCGGGCCACATAAGCAATATTTTGTGTTTCCCTGCCAGAAACATAAGAACATTTACACAACACCTTTTTCAAGTTGGAAGAACATTTTGACACTGTCGGCTGGGCACCTGAGCTAGGGATGGGAGCCGAGAGAGGTTGGATGGGGAGGGGAAAAGATGACTGAAAGAGTTGGGTCTTGATGAGCCTTGAAATGGGGGAGGAAAGGAACTCCTATGGGTGGTCTTTAAGGACGGGGTTGGTAAGAGCCACACTTGCCTTCCTGACGGACTGCAGTAACGGTCGGTATTATTTCCACTCTGCACTGCATCCTCCCAACCGCCGGCTCCTGCCGCTGCCATAGGAGGACATTCACCAGGAAGAGAGGGAGCAGAAGTTGGAATGTTGGAAATAGTTTTGGGCCGGATAAAATCACCTGCTGGACTGGATTCGGCCCGCCAGTTGGACCACGCTGTTAAGCTGACACCAGTGCTGTGGATTTTTGGAGGTGCCATCCTTTGGAGGAGACTTTAAATCGAGTTCCCAGGTGCCTGTTCAGTGGATGTTAAAAATCCCACAACACCCGTCGAAAAGAGAAAGAGTCTCTCCCAGTGACCTGGCCAACATTATCAGCAAATAAAATTTGTCACTCACTCCATGGCTGCTTATAGGACATTGCTGTGCAAAACTGGCTGCTGCATTTCACCATAAAATACAGTCAATCCGCTTTACAGTATATCCTGTGAAGCGCCTTAAGCAGTGTCAATGACATGACAAGATGCTATATCAAATTCAAGGATTATTATTATAAATAATAATCTTTACATGCGATATAGTACCTTTCACTTTGGGAGGATGCTCAAGCGCTTCATAGGATTTACTAAAAATGTATATTGTAGGCAAACAGGCAATTTGCGCACAGCAATGTCGCACATATAGCCATGAAGTGAGTGATCAATTTTATTCCAGGTTTGTGGGCCAGGAAGCTGGGAGAAATTCCTTTGTCTTTTCTACTGGTGTCATTGGATCTTTAATGTTCAACTCAAAAGGGCAAACATGACCTTGATAACATTGTGACTGAAATGTCTTCTTCACCTTCAGTTAATGCTTTAAATCTCCTGTATTCTGACGCTTTACCACATTTGTGTGACACATTACAGGCTGTTGCATGGAATGAAAACAAGACCATCGTTTCTTTCCAGTCAATAACACATTTTGGCAACACCGCAAAATGATGCATGTCTAGAATTGTATTGATGGGAACACATAATTGTTTTAGATTTCAGAAAAGATTTCTCATTAGCAATAAATTCCGTTGGGCTGAAGATGTTGCTAAAACAGCTTTGTAGATGTTAGAAAGAAAAAATAACTTGTTTTTTGTGTTTTATTTCTTTGAGATAATTCAAAGTGCTTCATAGTTATTGTAATTGCTAACAAAGTACCAGTAAAAAAAATTAAGTCAAACAAACAACAAAGGATTATATTCATCTAGAGGATTATTGGCTAGGATTCCTGGAGAAATTCCTATTTCTTTTAAAATAGTGTAATGGTTTGTTTAACATCTATGTTAAAACAGGCGGCTGGGAACTCAGCTTAACATCTTAACTGAAAGATAGCAATTCTGACAATGCAGGTATCTCCCAGTACTGCACTAGTGTGGTAGCCTCGACCAAGTTGGTTTAACTGGCAGCCCACAGGCTGCATCCGTCCCGGGAGATGATATCATCCGGCCCCCGAGCACAGTGATACTGTGTGTCTGGAGCCCAGGTTTAGTTTGACCTGGTGGGAAATACAGCGCTGAAAGGTGCCTGTTAACAATAGAACCTGTTAATCACTTTCAAACTGGTAGCAGGATAGAGACACACACACAGAGTTACAAAGAAACACACAGAGAGAGATACAGAGACACGCACAGAGAGGGAAGGAGAGATACAGAGGCACACACAGGCAGAGAGAGGGAGAGATACAGAGGCACACACAGGCAGAGAGAGGGAGAGATACAGAGGCACACACAGGCAGAGAGAGGGAGAGATACAGAGGCACACACAAAGAAAGAAAGAGATAGAGACACACACAAACAGAGAAGGAGAGATACAGAGGAATACACAGGCAGAGAAAGGGAGAGATACAGAGACACACAAAGATAGAGAGAGGGAGAGATACAAAGACACACGCAAAAAAGCAAGAGATAGAGACACACACAGAGAGAGAGACACACACAGAGAGAGACACACACACAGAGACAAAATGAGAGAGAGAGAGACACACACAGGCAGAGAAAGAGAGATAGAGACACACACAGACAAAGAGAGAGAGAGACACACAGAGACAAAGAAAGAGACAGATACACACACAAACAGGCAGAGAGCAATATAGAGACAGAGAGAGAGAGATACAGAGACACACACACAGACGGAAAGAGAGAGATGCCGAGCTACACATAGACAGAAAGAGAGAGACACACACAGATACATCCAGCCCTCAGCAGCCAAAAGGTTTGACCACCCTGTTCTAGACTATAAGGCTATGCCCTTATGTATGGCTTGAACCTACAGCTTACTGATGTTGAAGAAATCCAATGTCTTCTCCTACTCAGCCCCTCCCTTTTTGTTCGCTCTGATTTTCATCACTAACATTTTTCATATTAGTTTTCTTTTAGTTTTGACCCTTAGAGAATGCAATATGTATTTTTTTGGTTTAAGTGTTATTTTCTGGGCTGAATCTGCTTAAGAGTAGCAAAATACACACTCTGCCCAACCCAGCAAATGTTAATGCTTGAGATCGGGGTCTTTGGCCCAGCAGCTATAGAAGAGTGGGCCGAGGGCTGTGGGCTGAGGCACTTCAGGATGTCTGTACACAACAGCTCCTAAGTCTAAATAAGCAAGAATACAACATGAATAGTTTTGAAAAGTTTGAGGCTTTATTTTGCTCTGATAATAAAATGATCCCTGCTGTGGCAATATTGCAAAGAGGAAAATGCGTTTGGCCCAAGATCTTTGAAACATGAAAACTGAAATAGAGCTTAAAAAAGTAGACATGACAATCAATGAAATACAAAACAGAAATCTTGTAACAAAGCATGATTACATCTTTTGTAATGCTAGTATGCCGTGTATTGTCAATTCTGACAACTGTGGGGTTTAGACACTGGAACGAGAATGTGTATAACATCTTCAGTATGGTAAACTTGAAGAGCAATAAGGTTTCAATTATTGTTCTTTGTTTTGTTTCCAGCGCCTGAAAGCAGCACTGAGTCAGCACCCTACGGCTTTGTCGAATGGAAATATGAACATGATGGGCCAAGTGATGATGTCATCCAGAGAGGAGCAAGCACCACACCATCACATGCACTCACATCCACACCAGCCACCTCCTCATCATCCGTACACGCACCAGCACCAACATCAGCATCAACACGAACACCATCACCACCCTCAGCACCACCATCACCAGCATAGCCACCCCCACTCCCATCCACACCTGCATCCACACCTCCCACAGCACCACACGCCTCCGCATCAGCCACTGCCCACAGGAGCACAAACCCAGGTATGGCGTTTAAGAATATGTTAAAGGCTGTGTGACAGGTAGATAATTATAATAATCCTTGCATTTGTTATAGTGCCTTATCATGTCATCGAGATATCTTCTCAGAGCACTTCACAGGAGATACTGTAAAATGATTTTGACATTCGCTTCAAATGCTTCAAAAACGCTTCATATCCTGTGAAGCGCTTTGAGACGCCTCAAAGACGTGATAAGGCACAATATCAAATGATTAATATTTATTTTACAGATAAATATACGATTCACCAGTTATAAATATTGGATATTACTCCCCACTATATATGAGCTCTTTGCTACTGTAAATGATAATTATCTGCAGCTGAAGGGGCTGGGGGGAGGGGGTGATATTCCTCTGGTTGTCCGAGTTTTGATATTCGCCGATCTCCCCACTATTCAAAAAATCCAGCTCAGTCGCCGAATGGATCGACTTCAGGATCCTCAGACTTGTGTTCAAATCCCTTCACTCCCTAGAACCTCCTTACCTCTCCGACCTCCTCACTCCCCAATCCACCACCTGGCACATCCGTTCGACTGGCACTGGTCTCCTGCTTGTCCCTCGCACCCTCCACTCCACCATTGGAGGTTGCACGCTCAACCACTATGCCCCGAAACTCTGGAACACTCTTCCCTCAATCCCTCTGCTTTGCCCCTTCTCTCCCCTTTTTCAAGTCCCGCCTGAAAAGCTTCCTTTTCGATTGTGCTTATGATCACCTCCCCCCGCCCGTCTCGGAGTCAGGCTCTGCTACTGTTAAGCACTCTGAGATGCTACCTGCGTGGAGGGCGCTGTATAAATGCAAGTTGTTGTTGTCCGCCTGTCTTCCTGTTCTGATGGATGTTAAAGATCCCGTGGCACTATTTGAAAAGAGAAGTGAGTTTCTCCCGGTGTCCTAACCAACAATCCTCTAGGTTAATTGTTATCCATTTTATTGTTGTTTATGGGTTTCTGCTGACACAAATGGCTGACATGGTTACCTACAAAATCAGTCACTACATTTAACTGTAATTATCTGCTAAGCACTTTGAGATATTCTGACCTGAAGCAATATATAAATATTCATTCTAACTTGATACACAGGTCTGTTAGCTTTGATTGTAATGCGTTTCAGCAGTTCTGGGTGAGGCCACCACACTGAGTGTCTTATGAGAGAAAAGCCTTGAGCATAAAGGAAGTGGGAAAAATTGACCTGAAAACATGCATATACTTTTGTGCATTGGCTTATCAGAAAGTGTCAGTTGTTGAGAGAAGCCAGAGGCTGCACTGCTCCACCAATGTGAATGAGGAGTATGTGCAGAGGCGACAAGAGGCATGAGGAAGATTGAGATATATAGAAATACTTTCCTCAAGAAAACCGAGTCATTGGGAAGTTGAGATATAGAAACCCAGGATATTCTCATGTATCTCTGATTATGGTATGAGAGCAGCGTGTCCCATGTGAGTGAGCACATACCATCTCCCCTCAAGGAATCAGGTGATGACAGAAGCAGTACTGCTAATATCAGACGAAGCCGACCACATTCCTGTTTCAATCACTTCCTATCAATTTTCGGAGCAGCATTATGCAGTTTACCTACCTGCCCGTACCCTCCGTTCCTCTGGCTCCGGTCTGCTCCACATCCCCCGCCCCAACCACCCTACCATCGGTGGCCGGGCCTTCAGCCTCTCAGCCCCTAGGGTCTGGAACTCTATCCCCCAGTGCCTTCGCCGCTTCCTCCCTTTCCTCCTTCAAGGCCGGTCTCAAGACCTTTCTCTTTGACTGTGCCTTCAGCTCCCCTCTCGACTCTCTACCCCCTCCTCGTTCCCTCCCTTCCCTCCCCTCACCCTGACCATTTCCCCCTTGCTCGGGTCCTGACCTAACTGTACAGCGCCTTGGGACGTCCTCCCGACGTGAAAGGCGCTCAATAAATGGAATCTTGTTGTTGTTGTTGTTTGACAAAATTACATATTTCACATGAGAGTACAAAAATCTTATAATTTTACCAAATTCAAATAGGGATTGGTTCAACCTCAAGGGGCAGCACTCTTCCCAATGTATTGATTACAGATTCAGGGCAAAAGGAAATAGGAAGTTAGTTGAAAACTACTTCAGAAATTTATTGACTGGTGTTTTGATGGTGTTCAGATGAGTGTTATGAGAAAGAAAATAGTTTGGACAAACTTAATCCTATTATTAGTTTAATTTTTTGATCATCTACATCAAAATTAATTTCCCAAATGACATTTGATGTTTCCTGCTAGGTCTCGCCTGGAGCACAACAGATGCATTCTCCACAGTCAGTGCATCCAACTCAGACCAGCGGGGGGCGGAGAAGAAGGGTTGTGGATGAAGACCCAGACGAAAGGCGACGGAAGTTTCTGGAAAGAAACCGCGCAGCTGCAACACGCTGCAGGCAGAAGAGAAAGGTGTGGGTGTTGTCGTTAGAAAAGAAAGCAGAAGAGCTCACACAAACAAACATGCAACTTCAGGTATGGAGCCTTCTTATCAGTGCTAATAATATGCTGAACCCATTAAAATCCCTTTCTGAATAATCCTGTGTTCTGCTGGTCATATCTAATGTTTTCTAACCCTTCCTTAAACAATAAAGAGATTAAACTTTTACTCCCCATCAAACAATATGCAAGTATGAATCATTCTACAAGAAGGATTGGTTTCTGTCATTCATCCCTCCTGTTCCATTTTCCAAATAAACACATAGGAATTCATTGTGTGTGTGTGAGAGAGAGAGAGAGAATGAGCACATATTAATACTTTAACACACTCAAAACTAAGATCCATTTTCTTCTGACCTTCTCTGCATCTTTGCCACATCACCCATCTCCACCCTGTTAAACTCACTGCGGCCAATTCTTGCCTTTATCAATTCCAGATGACTTCAAATGCCCTCCTTGCGGACCTCCTCAACTCCACCACCCAAATGTTGCAGCTTATCCAGAACTCTAATTTACATGCCCATCACTCGCATATTTGCCAGGCTCAACTGGCTCACAGCTTCCCAGCAGGTCAACTTTAAGGTCCTCACTGTCACCTACAAATCCCTTCACGCCCTCCCAACTCCATACCTCAATAATCTTCTCCAGTCTTACTCTTCTACTCGTCATCTCCACTCTGCAAACTCTTGTCTGTTACAAAATCCTCACCTCCTGGAAGGCGAAAAAGCATAGCTTACCCCACGCTTCCTCTTTACTTTCTGAGCAAGGTACAGTTTTCATTACAGTGCAATCCAATTCAACTGCCCACCACCCACACACATTCACACATGTTGTCTTTGCAGTATATCCTGATCTGCCAGCATCAGTCTCCATTCAATCCTGTCAAGTAATAGTTATTTTGCAAACTATCGCTAGTTAATCTGTTCATGTCATTATTTCAAATGAACCAACCACAGGCCAAAAGTCAGTTCAGTTATGTTAATGAAACAGCATAAGATTAATTTCTAAAATAAGCATCCTTATATCATCCACATACATGTAATAAAACACTATTTGTGCAATTAGTTTTTTGGTGTTTCTGTTGGTGCTGTAGTCGCTGCTCACAGTCTGAACGTGTAGTTTGAATATTTATTTGGTTTTGGTTATGCTGAATGACTCCATTTAATCCTAATATGATGAATCATCGTGGATCCATAGATAATTATGCAATTAATCTACAATGTACTTCATAGAATCAACAACAATGTGCATGTATAATAAGGCCTTTAATGTGGGATGATGTCTTGAAACATTTCATGGGGACAGTGTGCAGTCATAGAATATTTGCAGCACGGGGTTTGTTAGTGCTTGTGATAGCTCTCTTACCGGAACTAACTATTGGGCTTTGTTTTCTTTCTTTTCCTCCCAAAATGTACTGCTTTGCATTTCTATATATTGTCTAGCTAATTGCCTTTTCCACTAACCTTTCAATGTCCTCATGCATTCTTCTGCATTCCTCCTCATAATTTGCCTTCCCCAAAAATTCTGTGCAATCAACAAATTTAGGTTTTCTATAGCCCCGTGAGTTAATTGAAAACACAAATTCATAACACCTTGCTCCAGTCATGTAATCAATAGCTTGGTTTTAGGTAAGAAAAACAAGTATTTATGCTATAATGGGCACTTGACAAGCTTTGTCCTCAAATGCCATCTTATAAAATAGCAGGTATTGTTAAGTGTGGTGTGTAAATGTCAGGTGTACTCAATAAACCTAGTACTTCAACTGTTTAATCTCTTAATCAACGAAGAGTTTTCATGGTTCCTTCAACTGCACTTACAGAATGAGGTCTCTCTATTGAAGAATGAGGTGGCACAGCTGAAGCAGCTGTTACTGACACATAAAGACTGTCCGATCACAGCAATGCAGAAAGAGTCACAAGGCTACATGAGTGAGTACAATTCACCTGTTAGTACAACTCACCAAAACAAGGAAGACATGAAGGTTTGGGATGTGGGTCTCTGACCGGATCTACAGAAAAGTATTATCTAAAAAAAACATCCTTGTTGCTACATTGAACAATCTTTGGCAGGAAGCACATATTATCCACTGTCAGTAAATTTGCTGACCTTTAGTGGTGTGTATGTCTATGATGGCACTCCCCACTTTAAGCACATGCTATCAGTGTAGATAGTGGATTTCACATCATGAACTGACTGAAAAAAAAAGAAAAGTTTTTGTAAAGCTTTTTAAATATATGCTTCCCGGTGCTATAAGTTTTTTCACATCGAAGATCTTGGCATACACGGACAGGTGTTAGTGGGAATGTGAGTAACTGAATCGCTACAGTATTAGTCATTGTAGCTGTACAATGTCACAATAATTGTAATGAAACTGAGATACACGTGTAAACCACAGAACCTATCGTTGGTATGGAAATCTTTTGACAAACAGTTGTTTTAGAAATTAACCTTGGAAGAACTTTATAAAATGTTCTGGACTCACGGTTTACATAAGCATTTAAATAAAATCCCCCAATGTCCCAGTAGTTTGACTAGTTAGGTAGGTCATAGTTAATAGCTGTACAAAATTAATTCCTTTATCTCAGTCTTTTTTTTTTACAAATTGTTGACCCAGGTGACAACGAGAAATGTTTAATACAATTATTTATTTTTTCAGTTTTTACTGATTTTCACTGAAAAAAGAAATCCAGGAAACAAATTTGGTGGGCTACCTTGGTGAGAACCAGTTTTTAACCATGTTAAACCATGTTTGTTTTGCCCATATAAAGCTCAGTCAGTCACACAGACACACACATGCCAAATAGGAAATGCAACACACAGTGCACACACAGCTTGGGTTCCCAGTCAATGTTCCCTTTGCTGAATTTGGGGCTCGTAAATGTTCTGTTGGGTAACTATTGGAAATGGAGGTAGGATTTTCTAACCCTTTTCGTTATCAAGCCAGTATTCCACCCAATATTTAACACACTTTTAGCAACGTCTGTTCAAAAAATAATATGCAAAACAAAAAACAAATTTAAAAGACTAAAAGACTGATAGAAATATTTAACAAAATGGAAAAAAAATCAGCTGCAATATAAGCATGCAACCCAGACAAGCTGAGCAGTTTACTACATGTTGGTTTTAAAACCTACTTTTCCATGCCTTTTAAGCAGCGACTTAGATAACACTGATACTGAATGTCTCTTTTTGCCCCCTCGCCAGGTCCTGAGAGCAGTCCAACAGGAAGTCCTGTTCCTGCCTGCTCTCAACAGCAAGTCATCCAGCACAACTCTATTAGCACTTCGACTGCCATTAGTGAGGTAGTGGGAAGCTCTGCTCTCAACCAGCTCACCAGTCAGAGAACAGATCGCAATCCTATCCTCTGAACACTGCCTTCTATCAGGACTATGGTAGCTGAAACACTACCACCCCCAGTCAGAACTTTTGGAACATCAGCATAACCCTGGAATCAGATACACATTTGCGAGAAAAAGACTTTTGCTTTCATTTTAATAGTTATTATCAAAATGCTATGTTTTTTTACTTAGTTATGAAAAAGGGAAATATGCAATTAATGTGCTAATAGCTTGGGGACGCTTTAATGCTTTCTCATAACTTGCTGGTACCAATTTGAAGGTTCCGCTGAGAACTTTTGAACTTTCTGAACATTATTATAATATTTGTACATAGTCTTCATCCATTATCTCCAGCCGAGATCTAATGTGGTCTGCTTTTTACCACGTAATCAACTGGATTGAGGTGCCCAGCATTACGGAACAGAAACCTCCAGTCCATAGATGCAGCTTTTCGTGCAGTTTCTGCTTCTTAGAACTGTTCATTTGCACTGAAAATCCAAACTTTATAATTTGATGTTAAAGACTAACCTATGAGGTCAGCACAAATATATTGAATTTTATATTATTTCAATATTAAGAGACAAGTCATTATGTGACACTCCCCAGTATGAGCCATTATTTTCGATATATGACAGAACTGTGATTTTATTGATCTGTAAAGTTACTTAAGAGTCTATTTTTAGTTAACCAGATTATTCAGTTCTTTCATTAAGATGTGTTTTGGATACCTACTACAGCATAATGTGTTAAGATTCACCATAAGAATAACATGCAGAAGATTTCCATGCTATACAGAGGTATCAGTGTCTACCTAATATTAACAGGAAATCGTCCATGACATTGAGTTCTACAAGTCATGAACATCTTCTAGTGATGTTTCAAAAATTACAACAGTGGCCTCTGCACCAATATTAATTTATCTGAGCAAAAATTGTAGGTCACATAAATGTGAAGCAATGATCCTAGGAGGAAAGAAAGAATTAGCTAGGTAGCATTATTTATCTGCTTTCTTCCCAAAAGGACGGGGAATGTGTGGAGAGGCAATTAACAGTTCATAGGAATTCATTTAATAAGAAAAGAACACTTCAGTGAAATAAGTGCAGGCAGCAAGTAACAGTACTGATGTCTGAAAAACATTAGTATTTCTTAAATATAGATTGAGCTTTAATTTTAAATTGATTTGATATTTTGAAAGTATAAATAAGCTCATTTTATATGTAACAATTTTTAAGACAGGAAAAAGCCATTAAGATGAATAAGGAAATTGGATAAAGAGCTGAAGGTAAGGATAGAGACAACAAGCAAAGCAGAAAATTAGGATTCGAGTCAGTGGCTCCAGTGGAGTTACTGGCGCCACCATAGGCTTGATGGGCAGTATGGTCTCCTGGATTGCAGAATGGGTTCTGTGGTGTGTAGATAGCCCCTATATTCTTCCCCTGCACACAGACCATGTGCTATTTCCAAATGTTTGGCTGCCCTGGACTGAGATTGTTGACTTCAAAAATAATCTTCCATTGCCTGTCATAGTATTCTCTAGCACCAGAAACCATAGATATTGGACAATCTACCCCTACAGCTCTTGATGTAACAGTATTCTTGTTATGATGCACAGAAATCCTTCAACGCACTGTCACACTGCACTTTAAGCACTCTCCTACTCGCATAAATATTTGTTACAAATTTCTAGCCATCTCCCACGTGGAAAGAAAACATTCGATTTCATTGTGACTGTCACACACAAAGTGAATCAGGGCAGCCATGAATGTGACAAATCGGATTCAGTTTGAGTTATCCTGGTTCACCCAACAGTCAATCTCTTGGGGTTATATTAAATACCTGCTTTAGATTAGTGTGTTAACAATGAATGTTTTAAGCACTGGAAATCTACTACATATTGTACTATATGCTGCAATTTTGCTCAGATAGTATTAGTTCTGGTTGGTAACACTGATGGTATTAAAAGATCTTTGTAAAGATTCAGACTAGTAAAGATCACAGTCAGTCGAAGTTTCTGGCCAAGTTGTAAGTCTATTACAGAACTACCTAAGTAGAGATGGTCTTACAAATGCCCATTGCATTATATTGATGTGAATAATACAAATTGTATTTCTAATGATAAAAAGACGACAAAATTAATGTGTTCAGTGACTAGCATGGCTGAGGTGAACACAACTAATATCACATTTGTCAAAGACTTCTATGTTAAATCTGTGCCATATAAAAGTTACTGACTTTTCACGCTGAAGACAAAGTATTTGATTCCACATTTTCTAAAACAAATTTTAATGAGGGAGTCAATAGTCAGAGAAGTGCTTTCAATATAACTTGATGCCCTCACATATCCATTTGATACATACCATTTTCGATAACCAAACGCTTTGATTGCTTTCTAGCTTCATGTATGTAAATATGAATGAGCAAAGACTGCTCTACAGCCTTGAGTAAATTTATTTTTCATAAGAAGAGAACATAGGAAGCATGAAACGAGAGTAATTTGTCTCATCAATCCTGTCCTTTTACACAACACTGACAATCCAAGGTTCTCCTTACTTTACCCCCAAATTTCAATTGGGTAAATCTTTAGAATATCTGGCTAAACTCACAGTGTTCATCGGATGGAGAAGGCTCACAGACCATTTAATCGCATGCTTCTATAATATTGACTCTCCCCTCTTTCTATTGCACCATCAAACTGTTACCTAATTGAGTTTGGTGTCCTGGCTTATCCCTCTCTTCCTGGTCATCTGTTCCAACTGCTCAATACCCTCTTTGTAAATGAATTCTTCCTAGGGTGTATCCTAAGATGCTCTTCACAACTCTGAACCTTGTCCACTTTCCTGATGTATCTGAAAGTATTGTTCCAGTTTACTTACTCTATCCTGTTTTCGTTTCAAGGCTAAATAGTCATAGCTTATCTTATCATTCCTCATAGCTCACTTTCTGGGTTGCCTTTGTGGCCCTCAAAGAACCTCATGCCAGTCAAAGATAAAACACTTAACAAAGTCTTTATCAAATGAGGTATCAGTAGAAGTGAACACATCAACCAGCAGAATGAAGACCATGATGGCATGGGGGAGAGAGTTTGCTAGTAACTGATGGCATCTGAACATGTCCATTCTTGAGATATGTCAATACATGAAACTGTAGAGAATTTTTTCACTAAAAAAAATTCTCTCCTTTTAAAGCAGTATTTGGACACAGTTTGTGTGGTGTGCAAAGGGTTAATTACATTGAACGTACTTGTACCTAACATTACCATCCCCCTTTAATATAATTAACAAGGATGGAATAAAAGATTATTAAAATAGTACAGATAATTGTTAACAGCTGTTAAAATGTAAAGTCAAGTATGCACTTCATCAAGAAATGAATGCGTTAAAGTGTAGAGAGGCATCACCGAATCAAATATTTACAGCAGAATCTGTTTTGCTAAAGATAGTAATCATCTAAAGATAGTAACCAACTCTAGCTAAATCCCACGGCTGCATTAAGACCCAGATCTATTTGGTTCCTTGCATTACGTTACTCTCCCAAAACAGCATCATTATTCGTGAGGTATATTAGAACATGACAGTATTTGCTTGATCCCTTTCATAAGCACTGCCTGAAGCGTCAATAAGAGTCCTAGTTTTGAAAAGCATGTCAGGTCAAAAGAGAAGTTAAACCTAATGAATCTACATGGTGTTCAGCAGCACTTTACTGACGGAGTTGAACTTCCTTCACTTGCATTTTTTTTGCTACCATTATATTTTGCTTAATCACTCCAGATTATTTGTGGTCCTTTGCTTTCACTATTATGGGTGGTGGTAGCTCCATAAATCTGCAACTGATTTAAACAGAATGAAAGAGAAGGCATGAATTATAGATGGGAATGTATTGGATTACCAGACTGGGTATTAAGATAAAAGAAGAAGCACATTGTACTTAACTCTGATGTACATTTGTGCACTTTTGTATAAGTGCACCATCACCCGATCCAGTGGACCTGGATATCTGAGAGGTGATGACATTTATAAGAGCATTTAAAAATGAGTGGAAATCCCAATGTAACTTTAACAACATCACAATCGTGTGCCTGAAATCCCACAAAGCTCAGTAACCTTAAAGTGATGATGTTACTGCTTATGCCCAAGTAGAAGCTAATCAGGAACCACCTATAACAAAGCATTTTTGATAGCAGTAAAGTACCTTAGCAGTACTCTTCTCAGATGTGGACTTCTTCCCATTTTTTTCCTTCTTCTACTTTAACAAGGCCTTAACAAGCTGAATAGGATATTTTTGTGAACAGATGTTTTATGCTGGAATTTGAAAGGGAGGAATATAGGTGTAAACCCTAATACACACATTCACAACATCCACCCTCCCTGATACCAAACCCTGCTCGGGTCCAAAACACTGATTGCCCAGCGCCTTGGGACATCCTCCCGACGTAAAAGGTGCTATGCAAATGTAATGTTGTTGTAGTAGTACTAAACATTTGATAAGTGCTACCACCTGAATTCTGCTAATGTTGGTGTTGTGAGAAATATCAAACCCATACTGTTATGCACCTGCAGTTGTAAGGTTGGGCTTCATTGAGGCCTTCAACCTACGAGCTGGTCAGACAAATAGACAATGAGGTTGCCGAAACACTTGGAGGGAAAATGGCAGAACAAGTGAAACCTCAATACAGGAAAAAAGACATTGCGGGATGTAAAGTGTGTATTCTGCAGCAAACTCCATATGAATCACCCACAAGACCTCAGCTCCTACCTGAAATCCCCCAGCACTGAGTTCCCACAGGTTAAAGTGATATATATGTGATCGCATCTTAAAATCTGAGGCACTTTTCCCACTGTTGCAGTGTCATTTGCTCCGGCACTTTCCCTCAAGCTCCTTTTCATCCCCCAATGTTTATGCAGAATTCAGGAAAAGGAGAGCATCATATGCACAGCTGCACATGGAGACATTAGGCAAAAAAATTCTCATGGTATAAAGTGTAGCTTTGGTAAATTTAAGACTAAATTGTGTTGATTTGTACAGGAGTTGTTAATAATGACTCCAAAACATAAATATGAATATAACCACCCCAAATCACAAATGACTTGTTCAAGTATATCACACTGACCTATGGGAACTCTGTTCTGGCAAATCTATTTACAGACTTATTAATGACCTTATTAATAATCATTAATA